GTCCCAGCTCCGTTGTTCCCTGGCTGCGAGGCCTTGGGCAAGTCACCTGATGCTCTGTGCCTCGATTTGACCATCTGTAAAAGGGGGATAGTCATGGGGCCCCTCGCTGGGTTGGCGTGAGGATCAAATAAGCTAAGGTGCATGAAGCCCTGAGAGCAGTGCCCAGCGCACCCCAAGTGCTGCATCGGCATTGGCTTTGGTTTGCTGTTCTACACTCAGACAGCGGAAGGCATGGGGGTCCGGAAGGGAGAGAACATTCCAGATCAAGTAGGGACATCCCAGGGCCCCTGTCCCTGCATGTGCCCTCCCCTGCCCCACCTTTCCCTGGCCCTGCCCTGCTGCCCGTCCTGTTGGACCTGGGGTCCTGCGTCCTTGCATCCTGCGTCCTCCGTCTTCTCCCTCCTTGCACCCTTCACGGCCTGCAGCGTGAAACCTCGCCTAACGCCCGAAGCAAAGCAGCCCACTTGGTAACGCAGCTCAGGGTGCCGACGTAGCCCTGCCGTCGGAGGGAGCTCACTTAGCCGGGCTCACCCCCCCACCAAGGTTCTCGACCAGGAGGACCTGAGGCCCCCTCCGAGGGGCCCTGTGGCACTGCTGGGGCGCATTTGCGATGGCCATGCTGGCGGGCACGGCTCTGGCATCGAGCAGCCGACAAACCCCCGCACCAAGCAGGCTCGCCTCCCGCGACATTTCCCACCCCAGACGCCTACAGGCCGAGGGGGAGGAGTCTGGTCTAGAGTAAGACCCCGCAGGGGAGGAGGGGGCCCCAAAGTGCCCGACTCCTGAGTCGTGCAGCCAGCGGTCGCCCGGTGCCCCCCGCGGGCCTCGTCTGCGCGGCTGTGGCTCTGTGGACCTCGCTCCCGGCCCCGCCTTTGTGAGCCGCGAGAGGACCGTTAGGACAGTCAGGACAGCGACAGCGTATCCTACCTGCGAGCTGCATCAGGCGCCGCTCCAGAGTCTCCCACCCCCCGGGGCGTGTGCGGGGATGTTTTGCAAACAAACCTGTTTCTTCCAGCCACAGAGAAATGTGAGAGGATGTTTCCGAAAAGCGTCGCTTTGTAAAAATGCCAAGCGTAACCCCAAGGCGCAGAGACGCCCGTGGAAGCTGGCATCGACTCAAGGAGTCTTGGCAAGCACACGTTGGGTTTAAGTGGCAGGCTCCGTGGCCTCTGTTGTTCCGTCGTGGTTGTTTTCCAGTCAGTGCTGCTTCTCGAAGGCAGGAACTGCTGGGAAGTTCTTCTAACGGCCATAGTGACCTGGTACGGGTTTGAAGATCGCAAATGTTATCTTGGAAATAGAGACCTCCGGTGCTTCATAGGCGTCCACCTTGCTTATGTCCACACCATCGGGGCTGGGGCGGGGGGGGGAGTGTTTAGAGGAGGCAGGTCACTTGATCGGTCCACTTTCCATTGAAGAAAACGGTGACTCCAAGGGAACCCCGATAAACGCCTTCAAGGGATATAGGAGACAACTGTCTCCTCCTCGGTTCAAATGCATTTAAAATGCTCCTAAGTAGTAAACGAAAGTTTGGCTTCTTCAAGAAAAAGAAAGTCAAAACCCAGTTCAAACCTAAGCTGGAGAAACATGCCGAGCTGTCTCGTCCAGCTCACTCCTTGGGTGCGTAAGGTGGGCGCGGAATCGGGGAGCCGAGGGGCTGTGAGTCTGGTTGCCAGGCAGCGGTTCCCATGGGGACGGGAGCATCAGCGGGGTTGGCTGTAGGCCACGTAAAAGACGGGCCAGGACCGAAGGAAGGGGGAGGCCTCTGCTTCCGAGCTGGAGAAGGAGAGATACACAAACAAAGACCCGAAGGGTGGTTGCGGGGTTGCTGAGCGATGAGCGGGGGGCTGCTCTTTGCAGGACAGGAGCCAGCTCGTTAGGGAGGTGCGAAGAAGTCATTCGGACTTTCAGATAATTCTGGAGATGGGTTGAGGGCCAGCTTCTTGAAACCTGGAAGCGCAGAAAAAGAGAGCAACAGCTGATTTTGCTGAAAGTTGAAAGGAAGCCAGCGGTACGCAGAGACTGCAGGCAGTTGAGCTTAATGTCAAAATGGTGTCCTCGCTTCTGGGGAAGCTGAGTCACTGAACGAGCTATGTGAACTCTCAAGGCTTCGGCGTTCTCATCCATAAGGTGGGCATAATAACACCACCCGCCCCATAAAGTTGCGGAGAGAATTAAGAGTCAGCACGTTTGTCTGCACATAGTAAGTGCAAAAATGTGAGTGTAGTTTCGACTGCTTTATTGTAAACAGTTCGTGACCGTAACTTGACTGTGTATCAGGCAGCGCGTGGGGATTATCCTTGGTAACAAACAGTCTTTGCTGGCTGACCCCTCACATTGGTCTATTTCATTCGCGTCCAGCGAGGGTTTGTATCAGTTTCCTAGGGCTGCTGTAACAAAACATCACAGGTGCAGGGTGGACGGGGGCGGGGGGGGGGTCTAGATAAAAGACATCGGTTTTCTCACAGTTCTGGAGGCCGACGTCCCAGATTGAGGTGCCAGCAGGATCGGTTTCTGGTGAGGTCTCTCTTCCTGGCTTGTGGACGGCCACCTGCTCCCAGAGTCGTCCCATGGCCTTACCTCTGTGCACACGCAGAGGGAGGGAGAGAGAGAGAGATCTCTGGGTTATTTCTCCCTCTTCTTATGAGGACACCACTCCTTTGAGATTACAGCCCCACCTTTCTGACCTCATTTAACCTCAATTATCTCCCTAGTATTATCTCTAATTAACAGTCACATTGGGGGTTAAGTCAACAACCTGTGAATGTGGGGGTGGGCACATAATTCAGCCCATAACCGGGCGGGGCCTCTGTTGGTGATGTTCGTTTGCAGACCCTGGCGAGTCGGGGGCTTCATCTCCACCCACGTCCACGTCTCCCTCCTCAGCTCATACTGAACGCCCCTGTGCCCACGCTGCTGCCCCTGGCTACACGGTGCTCCCCGAACACTGAGCTCCTTGCCAGCTTCCTGTCTCTTCTGCCTATGGTCTTATTCCATGACTGGTTCCATCTGGTTCTTTAGGTCTTTGCTGAAACAATAGCTCCTGAACACCCCATCTGAGGACGGTCGACTTCCCCAGACACCATTTTACCCTAGTGTGTCATCTTCACGTTTATTTCTTTTTCACACATGCATGCACACGCAAAAGGATTTATTTATGGGGATCCCTGGGTGGCTCAGCGGTTTAGCACCTGCCTTTGGTCCAGGGCATGATCCTGGAGTCCTGGGATCGAGTCCCACATCAGGCTTCCTGCATGGAGCCTGCTTCTCCCTCTGCCTGTGTCTCTGCCTCTCTCTGTGTCTCTCATGAATAAATAAATAAAACATTTTTTAAAAATTTTTTAAAAAGATTTATTTATTGGAGAGAGAGAGCGAGCGAGCATGCCGTCGCCGGTAGTGGTAGAGAGCGAGGGAGAGAAACAGATTCCCCACTGAGCAGGGAGCCGACGTGGGGCTCAACCTCATGACCCTAAGATCATGACCCGAGCTGAAATCAACAGACACTCAACCGACTGAGCCACCCAGGGGCCCCTACGTGTGTGCATTTCCTGATCTACTCCTTAATTGTCTACACCTAAGCTGCATTAAGGCAAGAATTTTGTTGTTTTACTGCTGTACCCCCAGGGCCTAGCATATAGTGGATACTTAATAAACACAGGCTGAGGGCATGAATGTGTGTCTATCTTCCAGAATTTAGACTCTCTGGGAATAGGGACCTTTTTTTTCTTAATCACCAATCCCTTGGCACAGGATAAAGTGCTTAGTAAATGTGTGTTGAATGAATAAACGAGTGTCTGGAAAGCCACCCTCATGGTGCTCAGATCTTCATGCCCCAGGCAAGTTTTCCTTCAGGCTCACCAGGTCGCTGGAAGGTGTGACCCAGCTGCAGTTCTCCTAGCTGTCCCCCTACCTCACTTGATGACACGAGCAGGATGAAAGGCATTGCTGTATGTGAAGTGCTTAGAGCAGCGTCTGGCCCCTGGCCGGTCCAAGTTAGCATTTATTGTCACTGTTGCCTTAAAGCAGTTTCTCACACGTACTCATGTCAGATTTTTCTGGACTAGAGGGGGGTAAAACTTCTTTTTTAAATCAGCCAAACACTCTCCAACTTAAGTCTTAGAGGAAACCTCCGTGTATAAAACAGGGGTTAGGGACACGCCTGGGGGGCTCAGTGGTTGAGCGTCTAGCTTCGGCTCAGGGCATGACTCCGGGGTCCTGGGATCGAGTCCCACGTCGGGCTCCCTGCATGGAGCCTGCTTCTCCCTCTGCCTGTGTCTCTGCTTCTCTCTGTGTCTCTCATGAATAAATAAATATATTTTAAATAAAATAAATAAAACAGAGATTGCCAGGGTTCCTCTGGGCATTGTCGGAGTAGGTGTCCCAGAAGCTCTCCAACTCCCTGGGGAACCTGCCCTTGAAAACTCTCTCCAGGTGATTCTGAAACACACGGAAGCTTCGTAGAAGCTTCGGTGCCTGCCGTTTGGAGGCCACCTTCAGATACAGCCTATTTTGCCCGCTCCCGTGGAGGGAAATCCTTCCTAGAGTAGTGGAGTTGCTCCAGCGCTGTGCTAACCCTCTGTTCCCTTTCACCCTGAGGACCACGACAAGGAGGAAGGCATCCAGCTCGGGAAGCGGCCCGCAGTCTGGAGCCCACCACACCCCTGGCACTGCCCCGGCCCCCTGCATTGGCCCCTCCTCCGCCCCGAAGCCTGGTACCCAGGTCTGCAGAGGCCCTGGCCCCGAGTCTCCTCTGGCCTCACCACCTGAGGGGCTGGACACCCGGAGTCCCACACCTTAGAGCAGGGCGAGGGGGACCGAGGCATTCTGATTTTCCCAGGGGGATTACTCAGGGGCTTTTAAAAAAGCTTCCAGACCATTATCACTACCCCCGGCCCAGCCCTCCCGCTTGCTCTGGGGGACCCCCTGCTCCCCACTTGGCAAGCACTCGCCTGCCCACCTCCGGGCCATTCTCCGACCTCTCTCACCGCCTGCCTTTTCCACAGGCCGTGAGCAAATCCAGTGCTCCCTGCCCCTGGGGAACAGGAGGATATTCCTGCACGAGCTGTCCGAGGCCAGCTTCAGCGAGTGCAGGTTCAGCCTGTCGCTCACGGACCTGTTCATCATCATCTTCTCGGGCGTGGCCGTGTCCATCGCCGCCATCATCTCCAGCTTCTTCCTGGCCACCGTGGTGCAGTGCTTCCAGAGGTGTGCCCCCAACAAGGACACCGAGGACGAGGACGAAGACGAGGATGACTGAGCTGCCCCCCCCTCGGCTTGCCCGAGCCTCCCGAAGAGAGGGGTGCGGGGAGGCGGGAAGGAGCCGACCTGCAGCGCCCAGAGCAGCACCTGCCCCTGGCTGCGCACCTGGGCGCCCACAGAGTCTAGAACCTGCGGGGTAGAGGAACCCAGGAGGGATTCTGGGGGGACCTGTCTCCCTGCTGGAAGTGCGAGAAGCGGGGAGGGGACGGCCCAGCCAGGCGTCCCCATCGCGCTGAAGCCAGGGGGTGCGGACCCTTGTAGGTCCCACCGCCGAACTGGTTTGTGCATCGTCCTCTGGCCTGGACTGGGAGACCAAGCAGCGGCCTCCTCTTCCTCCTCCCCCACCGCCGCCCCAGGACACAGCAGCTCAGACGGGGACTCGAATCCGGGGCCCTGTCCCCGGAGCGGGACCTGTCCTGCCATAAGGGGCTCCAGCGGGGAGGTGCGTGTGGCTGCTGTGCACCGAGGGAAGAGCCAAGGCCCAGCCAAAGGGTGTCTGTCGCTGTGCTTTGGTGAGAGGTGAGGAAGGCTTTTGCCGGCGGAACTCACACCCTCAGCCTCAGCAGCTCAGCAGAGGAAGGACGGGGGTCGATGTGTAGTCACGATGGCCTCTGTGCCCCATCACTCCTCCCCCTGCGATGCAACCAGTTGTCTTCCTTCCCCAGCCCCCCCTGGCCCCCCAGCTCAAGTCTCTCCTCGACCAACTAACGCCTGACCCGTCTCTGTGCTGACACCGGCCCGGACTTGTCATCCCCAGAATCTGCGGTAAACTGTCCCCGAGGCCAGGATTCCAAAAATCAGGTTGCATTGGATCAACAAAATGTTAAAAGAAAAAAAGGGGAAAAAACCCTAAACCTGAGACTCTCCATCCGCAGCCTTAGGGCATGTGTGACATTTGTTTGCAGCACAGGTTGTGACAGGTGGTGTTTTCCTGGATGTGCAAGATGGCGCTTTGGGGCAGAGAGAATATGCAGCCGTGTCACACGCCCAGCAGGCTGATGCAAGGTGACGGTGTCAGCAGCATCAGACCCTGCTGGGGACTGAGACATAGACGGGGCCCCGGAGAAGCCCCTGGGTGTTTCGGGGTGGGTGGATAGATGGGTGGATGGATCCTTTGTTTCTTACAATATATTCCTCACGTGTCCTTCTTCCATTGCCTCCTTCCATCTCTGCCTCCGCAAATCCCAACTGAGCGCTTGCGAAGGGCCAGGCCCTGGTCCGGACAGCGTGGGTGTGGGTGTGGGTTGAGTAAGAAGACAGGGCCCCTGCTCGCTTGGCCTCTGTTCTTAGCGGGGAACACAAAACAAACAAGTAGACAGAACTGTAATGGCAGGTAGAGAGAAGCCCCGTGAAAGAGGTGAGTGAGATCCTGCGAAAGAGTCACAGGTGAAAGCTACTCAGGAATGGACAGTCGGGTGTGTTAGCCGGGGCTCTCCAGAGAAACAGACACACGGAGACAGGTATGCTGTATGTCTGTGACTGTCCGTCCATCCACCCATCCACCCACCCACTCACCTAACCATCCACCCACTCACCTAACCATCCACCCATCCGTCCATCCATCCACCCACCTACCTAACCATCCACCACCCACCCATCCACCCACCCACTCACCCAACCATCCACCCACCCATCCATCCATCTAGGTTATAAGGAACTGGTTCCCATGAGTATGGAAGCTGAGAAGTCCCATATTTGCAGTTGGCCAGCTGGAGCCCCAAGGAGAACCAGTGCTGTAGCTCCAGTCTGAGTCCAAAGGCCTGAGAACCAAGAGGGCCGGTAGGCTGAGCTCCAGTCCGAGGGCAGGGGAAGACTCCGCCCAAGCGGCCAGGCCGACAGGGAAAGGTGTGGGGAATAAGTCTCCCTTCCTTCCCCTTTTTGTTCTCTTCAGCCCCCGACAGATTAGACACGGCCCACCCACACTGGGGACAGCTCGTAAGGCTGTTGTCATCCAGAGATACGCCTACGGCCACACCCGGGAATAACGTTTAACCACATATCCGGGCACCCTGGAGCCCGGCAAGCTGATGCACAGAACGAACCCTCGCGTCAGGGCAGGCCTCAGCGAGTGGCTTCAAGCTGAGTCTCGCCTCCTGTCCCTCCTTCTTTTCCTCTCCTACCCTCTCTACTCCTCTTCCCCCTCCACCCCCGAGGAGACCCAGTCCCCCCTTCTGGCCTCCGGCCTCGTTGGCTCCCGGGGAGGAGACCCTTAGTTCAGGGAGCTGTCTTGTCACAGTCACGGGGCACGTGGGGAGGTGGGCATCTTCGCCACGTTCCGTGGCACCTCAGCACCGGAGGGAGCCACCTCTGTGGGCCCCCCTCTGGGCAGGTAGCACTTCCCTTGAGAAATAGAGTGAGCTGCCTGGTGGTGGCCGCCTGTGAAAGTGGCCTGAGGTTCCAGCCACCGTGGGTACCTTCGTGTGAAGGAGGCTCCCGGAGAAGGTTTTCCGCCTAGTGAGTCCCCGGAGGGGGGCTGTGGAAAAGACCTGGTCGGGCCGGGGGATCGGGGGAGGCGAGGGCTCAGAGGCTGAGAGTTTGAGACACAAGACACTCTCGCATCAGCACCTCCCCAGCCTGGCTGCAGGCGCACTGAGGTTTGGGGTCCGAAGCGCCGCCCATTGTCACGGGGTCGGATCCCCACCCCAGGAGCACCCCACGAGGGACACCACTAAAGGCCCTGCATCCAGTCGAGCCCCCTAGGGAAACGGTGCCCCCAGCTGTGCAATTAGGACCACAGCCTCGTTCGAAGAGGTCGCAGGGGGTGGATTCCCACCTGATGAGTCCACTTCATGCCTTAGAGAGAGTGGACTCAGCCGTTTCCCTAGAAACAAGCCCTGCACAGCATGGGGTCATTCACTGAGTGAACGAGGGAGTGGGTGGGAGCAGCCCAGGGCTCGATGGACGCCAGTCAACCCCCATTTCTGCCGGCTGCACCCCTGAGCTTTGGAAGGAGCGTGACTCTGGGGAAGAAAAGCTTTGAAATATGGCCAGTTGAGACAGTCACTGTCTGGACATAAAGCCCCTGAAACCCTCAGGATGCTGGGGACAGGAGGGACATCCAAGCCCAGGAGCCGGGGCTCCGCTGGGGAAATGCCACAGCAGGCGGTGGTTTAGTGCTTCCTGAGCTGCTGTGGGGTCTCAAGTTGTAACCAACAACAAGGACGACACTACTTACCGCCTGATGGCCTCCTCGGCACCGGGAATGCCCCTTTCCATCTCCACACGTGTCACTGAGTCTCAGATGTCACCTCCTCAGAGTGTCCTCATTAGCACGTGATGTGAGATTATCCTGCCCTTTGGGTTACGTGCTTCTGGTCTTCCTCTCTGGCCTGGAGGATGAGCTCCCCGCGTGCCAGGACCGGGCCACGTGGGTGCCGTCGTGACACAACCCAGATGCCTATTGGTTAAAAGAGCAAACCAGTGAATTCCACGCACCATACCAGAAACTCCATGAACACGAGCTCTTTTTAAGCATCCTCGTAAGTCCAGGTGACAGCTGCTCTCACCCCAGCCTTATAGATAAGGTCACTGAGGCCCAGGGTGGAGGACAGGACACGCAGAGCGAGAGCCCATGCTCCAGGTTACCATAGCAGTTCATGCGCACGGAGGACCCTCTCCGTGCTAGATGCTGGGCCACACCGGCTACGCGACTTACCCTCTAGGGCGGTGTACTCGTCCGGGTTCCCCCGAGAAACAGAGCCGACGGGATGTGATAGACGTATTCTAAGGAATTGGTTCATGAGATTGTGGGGGCTCGCGAGTCCAAGAGCTTCAGGGCGGGCGGGCTGGAGACCCAGGGAAGAGTCCTCCTGCAGTTCGGGTCTGGGGGCTGCGCCCTCAAGCATTCCCTCTTGCTTGGAGGACGTCAGGCTTCGGTTCCATTAAGGCCTTCGGCTGATTCCATGAGGCTACGTTACGACTGGGCGACCTGCTTTACCCAGAGTGCACCGATCTAAACGATCTGATCTAAAAACACCCTGAGGACGATCCAGCATCATGCTCCACCGCATGTCTGGGCCCCGTGGCCCAGCCAACTTGCCCCATGAAGGAAACTGTCACAGACAGGCACCACGGTCACCTCCTTTTTATAGATCCATCGTCTCCGTGTGTCCGTTGAGAGAACTGGCTCGGTCCTGGGCGTAACGCGCTTGGTGGGACACAGCCAGGAAGGGAGTGGGATTTGGCCACAGGCGCTCCTTCCACCGCAGCTGCATCCCCCGCTCAGGCCAGCAAGAGAGGCGTGGCACGGGCGGCACGGGCGGCACCTGGAGCTGTGTGCTGGGCTCCCGGAGAAACAGCCCGCGCTTGCTGGGTGCGCCCAGGATGAAGTTATTTTGAGACTCAAATCCAATGTCTCCGACCCCTTCAGGAGAGTCCAACCACCTGTCCCCTTGCCTTGCTCTCCTTCATGTCTGCTGAGCAGAGGCAGCATCACAGATGAATTCACCCTCTCAGGACGACCGTGGGTACCACCAGTGCAGCCTTGACCCGTGGCAAGGGGCCTGTTTGGGGCCCTATCGCAGCCTTCCTCTAGCTGTGCGTGCTCTGCCCCCTGGGATGAAGAGCCTATGGGGCCCAGGGTACATACCCACTCAGAACCACTGCCCTCTTCTAGAACATTCTCCGGGTACTGAGGACCCCAGAATGCCCTGCACAAAGGACATCAAATGAGGCGTATGCCCACCATCCCTCCTCTAGGACGGACAGAGTGGCCGGGCAGTAGAGGTTGGCGGGGGTGTGGCTAGAGCTTGGGTATGCGGGAACGTCCTACATACGTGTGCACGGGAGCCCTGGCGGCTCAGGAAGGAGCCAGAGCGGGGAAGAGAAGGGAGGAGGCGTTAGATGCCACATCTGGTGCAGATTTCCAGGGACGCGAGACTCGTGGAGGGCGGGCTTCCATTAGGAAGGTATTTCTGTCAGGGCGGCTGGGGGGACAGGTCCTTCCGCAGATCATCTTCACCTAGGACTTCGGATGGTGTGGGTGTGCCAAGTGTATTCTGCCCTTGTCCTGGCTTCGTGGATAGTCAGGTGGGCCTGGGTACCACAGCGGGGACGAGGGGCGGCCACGAACCCCGGCTCTGGCCCTAGGGCCCGACGCTGCTTCTGCGGGGCTCATCCGTACGGGCCTTTTATACAGAAAACGTGAAAAATGCGGGCACCCCGGTTGCTTTCAGCGGCGTCAGAGGAGCCTTTGCACGGAACATCCACGCTTCAGGCTCCCCCTCCGCGTTCCCTCACCCCTGCAGTGTCCCCACAGGCTCAGGTGGCCCAAGTTACAGGCACGAACTCTAGATTCCGACAGTGGCTGGGGTTTCTTCCGAGCCGTTAAATGGAACCGGACCCTGGAGCGCATCAAGTCTCCACGCGGCCTTAACGTCCCGCCGCCACCAGCCGAGTCAGCCTCCAGCCCTGGGCCTTGGCCGTAAGCTCCTTTTTAGCGGCCCCCAGTAGCCTTGAGGGGTAAGCAATTAATTATTTGCAAAAGTGCTCTATTGAAGCCCCGTGGGGTAAAACCACCCCCAAGCAGACCCCTGGGGGTCTCCTTCCCGCCAACAACGTGGCTTTGTTCTCTAAGACTCCGGGCTAATAAACACGCATCCAGGCTTGCAATTGTTTGTCTGGGGAAAGGTTTTTAAAAAAATGAAAAAGATCGCTCTCCTCCTTTTGGCGAAGGCGATACACTTCTGGAAAACACACCTTGCCGAGGTGTGAGCTGTTGTATTCTGGCCCTGGGAAAAACACAGTGTGCTTTTGGTGAGACCTCCTACCGGCGTTCAGGACCCTTGGCCAAGAGCTCGTTCCGTTCGCTGCCTGGAGTTGGGTTGGTGCATCCGAGCTGGGAGGCGGTTACCGAGAATCACTGCTCCGAGGCGTGCGGCTCAGGAGGATCCCACCATCTCCATCCAGGCCTTTCACGGAATAATGAGAGGGAAGCCCCCATGTGTCCTCCGGTCTCCAAAGGAGCCCTCGGGGTGGGGGGAGGGGTAGCCCTCCGATGGAGCGTCTGTCCTCTGGGCCCTTGTAGCCAATGCCCTTGGCCGCGCCGTGGGCCCTCTGGAGCCACCCGCCCTCCGCGAGCAGAGTAACGCCTCTTGGCAGAGCTGATGAGAAGCAATGAGATAGTGGCCCCCACACAGGGTCCCTTCCC